TATTAAGGGGGTGTTTTGCCAAAAATATTTTTTCAAATGTTTTGTTATATCAAAAAGTGGGAGATTGTTGAATTATGTTTCGATATAACAAATTTAAGGTAAAATTTTTTGGATTTGAATTGAATTTATTCAAAGTTTTAAAAAAAGGTTTCAAAAATAATTTCAAAGTCCATTAAATTCGGATTTGATCAAAAATGTTAAACGGTGTCAAAGTGCATCCATGCACTCATGCAGTGCATCCATGCACCCCTGCAGTGCATCCATGCACCCCTGCAGTGCATCCATGCACCCCTGCAGTGCATCCATGCACCTGCCACTAGTGCATCAATGCACCATGTAGTGCATTCATGCACTCCATTTCGAATGCATTTAGTGCATCGATGCACCCTGTTGTGCATCCATGCACGAAGGCTGCAACGGCTAATAATGGCTAGTTTATTTAAATTTAATGAAGGGGTATCGATGAACCTTGATAGTGCACCGATGCACTATGTTATGGGCAAACGTATCCAAAACATCCCCAATGGCTATATACAACATCAAACACATTCCAAGCTATAAATACAAGCTAAAGACACTTGAAGAAGTAAGAGAACAACTATCCAAGCAGTCAAACACAAGAGAAGAGTTTTTCAATCTCTTGTAAATATTTTGTTCTTGTGAGCTCAATCTTGTAAACACCTACCTTAGAGAGGTTTTCTTGTTTACTTATTTTATCCTTTTGTAAAGGGGAAAGGTTATAGCTTATCCCGTGTAAAAGCTAGGGAAAGATTCTAGTTTAGCCTGGAAAAACTAGGGAGTTGTAAGGTTATCTCTTTATCCTCAAAAGAAAGAACAAATTAGTGAATTTTTTGGAAAATCCTTGGTGAGGAGCTAATGTAGTGGATGTAGACTTTGGTTTAGAAAGTCGAACCACTCTAAATCGTTGTGCAATTTTCTATCTTTCAATCTCCTTACTCCCTCAAAAACCGTTCCGACCCCTCTTTGCAAACCGTTTCGGTTGTCGAATCGAGCTTACGAAAATCCCAACACAACTACCTCCTCGAATCTTTGAATCAATGCTTCAAGATTTGCGGGCGAAGAACGAGGAAGGATACGATTACATCATCCTCATCGATAAAGAAATGTGGACGAACGCATGTGATGGTGGATATCGATATAGACACATGACAACCAAATTGGCAGAGGCAATCAATTCAACCTTAAAGGGTTCACGTCACTTACCTGTAGCGGCTTTGGTAAAGACTATATATTTTCATTTGGGGGCGCTTTTTGCGAAGCTCGGGGGACAAGCTCAAACCTGGATGCAATGCGGTCATGTGTATCACCCTAGATTAGTTGCAGATCTACATAAAAAAATTGATGCATCAAATGGAATGTATGTAACAAGTTTCTCTAGAAGGCATGAAATGTTTCGTGTCACATAGTTGCCACGACCTCTTCAAGGGATTAAAGTTGTGTCGTTAAGAGTAAATTTAAGGGATAGAACGTGCGAATGCGGGTTTTTTTAAGCTATGAAATAGCCATGCTCTCATGTATACTTACTATCTGAAGTTTTTTGGATCACGTATACTTACTATCTGAAGTTTTTAAGGTATACGAATTTGAGTCCCCCCATAGGTAATGACAAAGACCTTGATGGGGTTCAAGATTGGCTTCTGATTATACCAAATCCGAGTTTATTGAGGGAGCGTGGTCGTCCAAAATCCAATCGAATTCATTGTGATATGGATATTCGAGAAAGATCTAGACAAGACCGAAGATGTGGGCATTGTAGAAACCCAGGACACACTAGAAAAACATGTCCACTTCTGTTGTCATCAAGTAACAATTGATGAGGAAATGATGTAGTTGTTTATCAATTAATAATTATTGTACTTTAATTTGCATTTACTTAAAGTTAATGTTATTCGATAACCGCTGATGAAGATTAAAAAAATGATACAATTATACGAGATTGGACATTGGCGTTATATTAACAAATAACTGACATTAACTATACAATAAGTATTAAATGGTAAATGATAACCAAATTACAATAACTAATATTAAATGGTAATAAAAAAATTAAGCAAAATAAATTAACAAAAAGTCCAACAAATTTATCAAAATAAATTAAAATAAATCCAACCATATTAACGAATTAAAGTAAGTATTAAATGATAAATAAAAAAAAGTTACAATAAAAAAGTCCAATAAACAACTACAATAAAAGTACTAAATACAAATATAATAAAAAAAACAAAATCTATCGATGCCTGCGACGTGAATGTGTTCCGCAGGGCGGTGGTTGCCGGTCTCGAGGAGGATTTCTTCGTATCACTGGTTGTGACTCATCACTGTCATCATCGTCGTCGTCGTCGTCGTCGTCCTGAGCAGCTAAATTTTGTTGATGAGGAGCTGATAACGATGAAGCACCTCCATAGAATAAGGACTCTAGAGGTGTATGACTGACTATCCCACCGGCCTGCGAAAACTGGGAAAACTCATAAAACCCAGACATCGCTGAGTGTGAAAACTGTACATGAGGTGTCTGTGCTGTGACCATGGGTGATGAGGCTGAACCAGCTAAATATCTAGCATATGAACCCCAAGTCGGATCTACAAACATAAACCCATAATAGCCTCCAGGATGGGTCATAAAACTCTGTGAAGGCGGCGGCGGCGGGGTCATAAAACCAGGTGAAGGCGGCGGCGGCGGCGACATCTGGTAATGGAAAGGCGGTAAAAGCATCATATATGATTGCAATATGTAAGTCGCTGCAGACGGTGGCTGCTATGAAGGTCCTGCTGGTGCAGCTGATGATGAACCGGAAGCACCTGCTCTCCGTCCACGAGTCGAGGGATGATGGTGTTGTGTTGATGAACATCTCTATCAACGTCGTGGAAAGGTCCGCCCTCGTGCATCATCGGGAAGCAGAAACAGTTTCCCGTTTCTGTTGAACCACTCATAATAATCATCACCAACCGTCAAGTCATCAACATAAATGGGCTTTCTACGGGGAAGGCGTCGATGTCGATCCTCCCACAACACGACCCACTCATGATGCCTCACCAGTAAATCTGTATAGGTCTTGTCGTGTCTATCTGTGGCATGCAAGTCGTCCATATTGCAAGGTGCTTCCGGAATTGGTTGAAAATAACCAAATTGCCAGAGCACGCGATCAGTGAAGTGCCACTCGACGGTCGCATAACATATCAAAGAGACCATTGTCACCCAAACATCTGATGGGCCCCTCAACTCAGGTGGGATCACCGTCCTCAAATCATCATTAGAATATGACACCCATTCAAACTAAAACAAATATATATTTTTTTATCAAAATAATAATCTAATTATATAACTATAATCTAAAATCAATTTTTAAACATTTAAATTCATACCTGTGTGCCAGCTTTCTGATCGATGAGTACCCTAATTTTTTTTAAATCATCAGGTAGCTCCTGATGATTTTTCCTAGCATTAGAGCACCTATTCAAGAAATTTTTTTTATTATACGCTATATAAAATGATTAATATACGAAATCAGTTTCATAATTACCTCAAGAGTAGCGGAAGTACGAATGGGTTCTTCACAACGGGACATAAAAAGGGCAATCGATATCATGCCTAAGACTGCAGCAGCAGGAGACATCCGCCGATAGCATTTCTCCTGTAGTCAGTGGCTCGACACATCTCCTTGTACAATAAAGCCAAAACTACCGAGCCCCAACTGAGTGATCCGGCCAGACAAAAGTCGACAAGATGTCGCAACCACATAAAGTGAACTTGGTTACGCGATTTGTCCGGCATCAACAACCCTCTTATCAGCTGCAGTATGCATGCCCGTGCATGTATTTTAACTTCATCATCTGACGCGTCCTCGCTCAACTCCCGAAAATTGTCATCTAACCAATTTAACGGTATCCGACCACCGTTAAAACTTTCCAGGACACGTCCTAGATTATCCCGACACAAAGCAGTCCAGGAACCTTGCGCAATCCCCGATATCACATCTCCATCCACCGGAAGCACCAGGTGCATAGCAACATCCTCAAGTGTAATCGTGCACTCTCCGCACGGAAGATGGAATGTGTGGGTCTCTGGCCTCTACTGCTCTACTAAGGCAGAAATAAGGTCTGGATCTATCTTACAGTGACCCTGATATCTACCTATGTAACTGAATCCAGCCTCTACTAAATACGGCAAGACACAGCTAGGTATCACTAACTTAAGATTCTTAATACATGGATCTAATACACGGTCATTCTCCTAAAATTAAATAATTACAAAAATTAATTCTTAATCTAATAATCATTCATTAAATAAATCAACAAATAATTACTAATAATTTAAATTAAATTAAAACATTAAAATGTTACCGTATCAGCAAAGTGTCGAGATATATGATTTCCATCCAAGCGAAGTAGACCGTCTTCCATTTTATAACTGCAAAAAAATAATTAAATAAATAATTAAATAAATTAAATACAAAATATTAAAAATATAATAAAATATACCTTAGACAAAGATTATAAGAGTATTTGAGAGAATTTGGTGTAATGAAAATGATTGAGGATGAGGGTATTTATATGGAGGGATTGGGGTGTGAAACGTCGAGGTAAGTGGGTAATTATACCCAAGGCGCGCACGTCTTACCTCACGTGACGCCAAATCAGAGTAAAACACGTTGCAGGAGTCGTGCCTTTCTGCAAAAGATGTTAGATCAGAAAATATAATCTAAACAGTGTCTGATCGAAAAATATACTATTCAACGATGATATATAAAAAAAATCGCCCACAACACAACAAAAACCTTTTCTTTATCGTACCCAAATCACTTCATTTCATGTCCCAAGCCTTCACCATCTTTTAACACTAACATCCCAATCCCAGAAACAGCCCAATGTTGTTGACTTCTGATCGTTTTAGAGTTCATTGCGGCGTTTCATCAGACAGTTGCGGTGCTAACAACAATAAAAGTTTCAGAGACTGGGTTGAGTGGGCTGGTGAAGTGATTTCCACTGCATTCCCGCTATGGGTTTCTTTGGGATGTCTTATTGGGCACCAAGTTCTTTCAATTGGATGACACCCAAATGGAGCATTTATGGTCTTACCCTTACTATGCTTGGTATGGGTACGACTCTTACCCTTGATGATCTTCGAGGGGCTCTTGCTATGCCCAAAGAGTTGATCGCTGGTTTTGTGCTCCAATATACGGTTGATTTTCAATTTTTCTCATGATTTTTTATATTGAACTGAGCTGATATTTAGAGTAACAGTTTCTGGGTTTATAATTTTTCTTAGTTAGGTTATATAAACTTGTAACAATGTAAGCTTACCAAATCTGAATCAATCATTTAAATCCAACTCTGGCAATAACTTTGGGTATGTACAAGGCAGAGTTATTTGCTGCTGCCTTAGCACTCTACTCTTGCCTGTTATCTTGCACTTTTTATGCTGTTCTTAGAAGTACAACTTGAACTCTGTGATGTTCGGAGTTATGATTTCTTGAGTAACTTCTCTTCGGCTCAATCATGATATCATCTCAATCCTTGAATTGAACTATTTGATTCTCATTATTTTGATGATTTGACCATTTATTGTTGATTGGAGCATTGTGTCCAGCTCCTCTCATTAACTTGAAATTTCCAACTCAATGGCATCATATCATGCAACACTGCAGCGATGTGAATACACATGAGCAGAATGGCATATTCTGTAGAGCAATATAATTATGTAATTTATAATTATATTGCATATATAGACATGCTTTTAATCTCAAAGCATTAGATGCAGTGAGAGAAAGGTTGAGATTCAATCCATCATTTTTTTCATCCATTAATATCCAATACATTGGTCATCACCATTTAAGTGTGAAGGACGCATACATCACATATATATTAAGCGTGAAAATCAAGTTGTGAATGGTGATTAAATAGGTATTGGAGAGGAGCCAAACCCGTGAGAGAGATTTTACAATATATATACACGTTTATATGCACTCTTCATTTTTAGTAAGTACTTATAAACTGGAAAACAATGGTTGAGTTGTTGCAGGTGATGCCCTTGTCTGGGTGTTTTTTGAGCAAGCTCTTAAATCTGCCATCTCACTATGCAGCTGGTTTAATATTGGTCGGTTGCTGTCCTGGTGGTAAGCTTATAGTCACTCTTTGCCTGTAAGTTTTAAAACTTTACTTCTCAATTTTTTGTCTTCCTCTTGATAGTGCTTTAATTTTTCATTTCAGGTACAGCAAGTAACATTGTCACGTATCTTGCCGGGTATGCGGATTTTTGTATATGTATCATGCATCGTTCTTTAATATTTGATTCTTTTTCCTGAAGATCTGATGATCTTGCTATTTTCCAGAGGAAATGTCGCACTTTCTGTGCTGATGACTGCTGCAAGCACTCTGTCAGCTGTGGTTTGTAAACCAGAACTGTTGCTTCATACTGTCTTTCTTATTAATAGGTGTTTTAAAAATAATTTTCAATGCGCCCCATCATATTGACGGTCTTAACAATATTATCCACTTGCGGGGGCAATCTTGCGATTGATGACCATCCTACATGGGGGAGTGCTGAATTATGAGTAAATATTTGATGCCACCATTTTGTCAATCTGGTTTGAGTTTCCATGCTTTTCCTAAAAAAGAGCATTTTGGGTCAGATTTTAAAAAATACATAATGCGAATGCATTGTCAGATACTCTTAGATTAAGGTATATTTTGCCTGTTTAAGAACTCAGGAAACATCGATCACCATTCTTCTAAGAACCGTCTGGGATATTATATCGTAAGCAAACACTGAAATCCATTTGAGTAGAGTATGAACTTGCATTTCTGGAGGTGAGAATTCATAGGTACCATCATTTATTTATTCCGCAGATTATGACCCCCTTTCTCACTACCAAGATGGCAGGGAAATACGTTGCCGTGGATGCAGTTGGACTGCGAAACACAACACTGCAGGTGAATTCTTTCGTTGCATAACTTATTTTTCATAATACAGTTCATTTCTAGTAGTGGTTAGTACTTGGTACTTAGCCATGCTATTTCTACAGGTTGTGCTTCTTCCTGTATTGGCCGGTGCATTCCTAAATCAATATTTCAGTGGCCTGGTTAAACCTGTTTCTCCTTTGATGCTAAGCATTGCTGTCGTAACCGTCGGCATTCTGGTCAGAAATGCGGTTTCCCAGAGTGCATCCACAATTCTTGCATTTGGTCTACAAGTTGTGCTAGCTTCAGCCCTTCTTCATGCATTTGGATTTTTCTTTGGCTAAATCCTTTCGAGGGCACTTTGGCTTTATGAGACATCATCACGAACCATCTCTATCGAGGTTCGAATGCAGGCACGCAATCTGTTCCGAGTAGTTCGATCTCAAAGAACGTCGATGTTTTCATTAAGCTTGACCCTTTGTTCAACTGATTGATGTTTCAGAACATGCTTCTCGGACTTGTTCCTGCCGCACAGCACTTTCGTAATCCACCGACGGCGGTACCATGTGCAGTATCCAGTGTGAGCCACTCAGTTTTAGGTAGTCTGTTGGCCCGAATTTGCAGAAGCAATGCGCCAAAGCAGAAGCAGGAGTGATAATTATATGTTAATGTAAAATTTTACATCAATATTAGTACATATGTGAAACATATATGTATGGATGGATGATATGGAATGATAATGCATGATGATACCTATTAAATTAGTTGAAAACTCCACGTCAAAAATAAAATCTTCAATAATATATCATTTGATCGTGTGTCTTGTCAACTTTAAGAGCATCTGTTAAAGAGGTTTAATGATTATGTGATTAAAAATATACATAAGTAACAATCAAAATGTAATTGTTTTAAAAGTTAGGTGATCAATTGGATAGTTTGTCATTAATACCGTTAAGGGGTTAATGAAAGGTAAACTTCATTGATGTCACTTCATAATTAAGGATTTTAATATGATGATTGTCTTTTAATATTTTTTTTGTTAATTTTTAATTATTTAAATGATAACAATTAAATTACTTGTTATTAATATACTCTCCGTCGTATTAAATTTATCCATTTTATGTTTTAAAATTGTCTAGGTGCATTTTCCTTCTTACCTTTTTTTTAGTTTACCAATAAAGTAAAATTTAATTTTTCTAAGATAAAATTGTCATTTTATTACAATATATTTCTTACATAAACTTTTTCTTCCTAAAACTACGTAAAAAAATCAACGATGGACAATATAAATGGGCCAGAGGGAATATCTAATATGATAATTAACTAAATTTTATATAATTATATATTTAATTTATGTTATTTATATATTCTATAAATTTAATTTCGTTGTTAACGACGCTTTATTTTGAACCATTATCACAAAATATGGAGAGTTCTTTTGTAAATAAAACATATGTTACTCGAAGTTAGGATTTTTAGAGAGAATAATAACATTCTCTTTAATCAATTATCAATTTAACTACACAAACAAGAGATTCAATTTTTTTTAACGATATATGGTGATTACAAGAATAATATTTATTCAAAATCTTTCTTATACATTAAAAACGTAAATACACCCTGTAGATACATCTACTCGATCTCAAGACCTCCAAAAAAAATATCCACTTTAACCATATAAAATTACTTGATGGGGTGAATTTATATAATCACATTTGGTCATTTGAATATAATTTTTCCTTTTATTTAGTATTAAATACTATTCTTGAATGATTTATATTTTATAAGACGTTTTGTTTGTTCAACAAGATTATGAATTATAAAAATAATAATTTGACCGTCAAAAAGATAATCGATGCAAATTAGGTATTAAAATATATCTTATTCCAAGGAATCATGCTCATTGGCTTTAATTATAGTCAATGATTCATAGTTAAAATACAGAATTTTAATTTAATAATTTTCAATCTTTACGTAATTTAATGATCCATAAGAATTCATTTAATAAAAATAAAAATCTCTTTCATAACAGACATATATAATATTTAATTTCAAGTAATTTGTTAATATGTAAAGATTTCTTGATCAGTTGACTTGGTCTTTAGATGATCTTCAATTTCCATGTTTGAAATTTTCAAATAGGGATATTAAAAAAGGAAATATGAAAAGGTCTTGTCCAAGACAAAGTTGTATTTAGGAGGATTATAAGCCGAGACGAGTTTTTATTTATTCGAATTCGATTGGAATATTATTTTTTTTCATCTGATTTGATTTAAATTTAGGAAAATTTTAATGATTCAAAATTTGATTTTATTTTTAAGATTAAAATTCATGTCTGACCAGACACACACATATATATAAGCAATTAATTTTATTCAAAAATAAAAATATCCTAAATTACAATAAAAATTTACAATCATAATGGTAAATTAAGCACATAATTAAGAAAATTTCCTATAATCATTGAAACAAAACTAGTAACTTAAGATCACGTAAATACCATATAAGAAAAGATTAAATCTAACCAAGAAACTCGAACAAAGATAGATACAAACAGTCTGATCGAATTGGCAAACGAACAACAAAAGGGGATCGAGCTATTGAAAGACCACCGACAAACCACAAATCAAACTCGAGCGACATGAAAAGATATCAACGAACGCAAATCGGGTAACCAAATCCAATACGAGGGACCAAAGCAGGGAATATCACAATATATTAGATAAGCGTCATCTTGATCAGTCGTGGTGATGTCAAATAAACCCTTAGAAAAAGATAAATAAAAAACAGCCAAAGAACCGAAAAAACATGCTAAAAAGGCAGATGAAAACGTGCAACACATGCAAACTTATTGAAAATAAAAAAACAAACGAAAATAAAGATACGATATAGAATAGAAAAAGAAAATAAAGAATACTGACGGTCGGCAACCAACATTAAAGTTGGTGCCACTATCGATCAACAAAGACGAAAAAGAAAATAGGTGAGCGGCACATTAATGAGAGACAACTAAGTTTTTAGGGTTTTCAAGATTTTTTAAGAATATGTATGATTCAATATATATATATATCATTTTAATTTGATAGAATATGGATCTAATTGATAAAAATTGAGATATATATTATTATAATTATCTATAAATATATAAAAAATAAGTATACTATTATCTCGAGTTGGGTCAAGCCAATGTTTTTTTAACTCAAAACTTGAAATTGAACCAACTTTATCTCTCTTTTAAAATAAAAAGACTTGACCGACCTGACATGAACACAAATTAAAAAAACTTGATCTTATAAAATCGATTCTAATAAAAATTCATCAAATTTGTATCTAATAACCATCCTAAATGTGTTATGCACTTATTTTCATTTTCTTTAAATGCTTTATTATTATTATTATTATTATTATTATTATTTTATTATTATTATTTTATTAAGTTTAGGTGATTATGAAGTAGTACATGTTCTAAATACTTTTAATCATTTAACAATGAACGCTCAATCACTCTTACTGCAGTCGTTGGTGTTCAAATTTGCAACCGAAATACCGCCCAATCACTCCTACTGCAGTCGTTAGTGTTCGAATTTGTAACCGAAATAACGCCCAATCACTCCTACTACAATCATTGGTGTTCGAATTTGTAACCGAAATAACACCATTCTTTTAACCGTTAAAATAATTTGGTTTGCGCAAATGATTGCTTTATATTCTATTATATATATATATATATATTTAATTTGTATACAAATACAAGAAATTAAAGTCAAGGAAATTGGTCTTCGTAAATTTTCAGATAGAATTACTTATTTTTAAATACATTGGTCAATACACATTCATCGTTCAAACATTGAATAAACAAATTATCTCTAAAGGTTATATATTAATTGAAGGGTTAAATGTATATATAATCCTAAAGTTGTTTATTTTGTCTTTTGAATCACCTGACACTTTTTTATTCATTGGCAATTGCTTCTTTGTTTTATACTTTTTCAATAATAAAAAGAAAAATTGTTTGTTTTAGTCAATGAGTTCTAGATACTTGTGCACTGCCCCCAGAAAGAGTTTCATTAAATAATTTCCCATTTTTTTAAACTTATCTACAAATTTCACTAATGGAATTTAAGAGTTCTTAATTGGTCCGATTTGACTTCCAAATTATGTACAATTTTTCTAATTAGTAGGTCTGACTTTCATATTCCCTACAAACTTTACCTGTGGAGATTTGGATTTTTAACTCTCGAAAAATAGTTCTTAGATGAATATGACATTAATATTTTAAAGTTTAGAAATTAATTTAGAATATAACTTATAATAACATCATAGGCTACTTGCACCCTGCAACCTGCAACCTTGGTAGTTTTTTTTTATAATTCAATTAACCAATGAACATTCAGAAGGATTACGCAGGAAAGAAAGCAAGTGGAAAATTTTATATCTATATATATATATATATATATATATATATCCCACAATCAAAACGAACTAAAATCATAGCTTTTGCTACTTGCGAATTATCTGCATTAAGAAAAACATTGTGCTATCCCTTTGGAAGAGACAGACATGGCATCGAAGGCATCGCTCGAGGTTAGTTCTTTGCTGGTTCCGAGTGTCGTAGAGATGGCTAAAGAATCATCGACCTCCATCCCCGGTAGATACCTTCGATCCGACATCGAAAAAGCAGTGGTTCCCAATGGCGATCAGGTTCTGGAAATCCCAGTCATCGACACGCAGAAGCTGGTTTCTGGTGGACCAAACAATCCCGAAGTGGAAAAGCTTGATTTCGCTTGTAAAGAATGGGGATTCTTCCAGGTTTCTTGCCTCCATCCTGGCCTTGTGCTCGAAGTCTACCGATGTTATTGTGTTTGTTGGTTTTGATTTTTTGTTGAATGAATTGGTGTGCAGCTGGTTAACCACGGAGTGGACTCGACTCTGTTGGAGAATATCAAGGCGGAGATCGATGCGTTCTTCAAGCTTCCGATGGAGGAGAAGAAGAAATGGTGGCAGTCACCCGGAAACGCCGAGGGATTCGGGCAAGCTTTTGTTGTGTCCGATGATCAGAAGCTTGATTGGGGTGACCTCTTCTTCATGGTCACTTATCCTCTCCGTCTTCGAAACCCTCGCATGATCCCCAGCCTCCCTTCTCCTTTGAGGTACACTCCCAACATTATAACTGAAAGTCAAACACAGCATGATTAGGGATGATCATGTGTCGGTAGGGTCGATTTTTTTTTACCTTAATTTAACTCGAAAATTAAATTTCTCCACCACCATATGACCCGACTTGAGTTTAGAAAAGTCTCATTTTATTTGAAGCTCTATTCGATTTTTTTAGTCAAAATCTGTGCCTGACCCGTTGTATATATAATTTATTTTTATTAGATAAAATAAGGACTTAATTGAAAAAAATAACTAGAAAGGAATATTATTGTAATTATATTTAAATTATTTTCGTCTTAAATCTGAACCCAACCCACTCTTAAAAAATCTCGATTCAAATTTAAATTTTCAAAATAAAAAAATCAATCCGATTAGATCGAATCACGTCGGAATACATTAAATCGGAATGAGTTGCTCATATCAAATCACGAAATGAGTTTTTCTGTTTTTGAAGTCTATCCACGTAGTTTTGTGAAACATTTTGGCTAGCTGGTCTTAACCCTAAAACTTTTGATATTTTAATGTTTTTGATGTAGTGAATTGATGGAGCGTTACACGTCCGAGTTAAACAATCTATCAACAGGTATGTTAGAAAAGATAGCAGAAGCCCTGCACATGAAAGCCGAGGAAATGATGGAATTCGTCGGAGAGGGAAGGCAAACGATTAGGATCAACTGTTACCCCCCATGTGAGCTGTCTGACCAGGTCATGGGACTCACTCCTCACTCGGACGCCACACTCATCACCATTTTGCTTCAGCTCAACGATGTCGATGGTCTCGAGATAAGGAAAGATGGGAAGTGGGTTCAAGTTCAACCCCTCCCGAATGCCTTCATTATCAACGTCGGCGACATTTTGGAGATCATATCGAACGGACGGTACCGTAGCATCGAGCATCGTGGGACGGTGCACCCGGTAAAGGAACGGCTCTCGTTCGCGACGTTCTTCGGGCTGGGGTTAGATGGCGAATTTGGCCCTGCACCGAGCTTGATCTCGGAACAGTCGCCGGCAAAGTTTACGAGGGTGAAAGTTCAAGAATTCTACAAAGGCTTGTTCTCTCGTAAGCTTCAGGGGAAAGCTTATGTTGATACCTTTAAAATTCAACGGGATTGAGGATTAAATCAGCCGATTTTCTAGTAATCACGGATCAAGTCTCTACTCTTTAGAATAAACTGCATATACATGCATGCATGAGTGTGTTTTATAGTAAACTAAAGCAAGTAGTATACTTGGATAAACTTGCAAAAATATATGTTGTTCCTTGTACTTTAATAAAGATATTCACTTTTATGTTGATTGAGTTTAATTTGTTGATATAATACACATAAAAATATAATGGGTAAAGTACATAAATGGTCCCCTAACTATAGGGTATTGCTTTATTAAGTCCTCCAACTATTAAAAGTTACAAAATGGTCATCCAACTATTTATTATATTCCAAACCCGTCATTTTTCGTAAAAAAATTGACGATCGTCTAAGTTATACATTAATCTACTGAGTGAGATATGAATAATCGACTATCATGTCATACGATAAAAATATGATCTCACTATCTCAAACGACTATCATATCTCAGTCATCGTATTAACGTCCAACTCAGATGACCGTAAGTTTTTAACGAAAAAGAATTGATTTGGAATAATCGAGTGGCTATTTTGTAACTTTCAATAGTCGAGGGACTCAACAAAACAACTCCATATAGTCGAGGGGCTATTTTGTAACTTTTAATAGTTAATGGACTCAATTAATCAGTATCCTATAGTCGAGGGACCATTTGTACACTTTACCCAAATATAATTAAGAATATTTAAACGTTAAATATCTGTCAACTACTAAGAAATCAAATTTGTGGTACAATTGTCAAACGAAAAACTAAACCTTGGTTAACACTTTAATTATAATTAAATCTCGAGAACAAACTCTTTTCCACTTGTAATAAAATATAACGAAGATAAGACGACGTTTGATATAACCTGCTCTCCATCTTATCCGACTCTTTCGTGAATACACAAAGTCAATATAATCTTTTTATATCTTTACAAATAAAGGGTTAATTGCATTATACATCTCCAAACTATAATTCTCCCTTTAAAACAATCTCTGACTTTTTGAATATTCCAATTTTATCCCCAAACTATAATCTCATTTTATGACTTGTTCATCCATATGATTCAATGGATATGGATTTGCAAACACCGCAAAGAAGAGAAACAATATAAACACTACCTTTCTCTTGTTCATATACCATTAAATTTGAAACAGTTTCTAATTAAATAATCAGGCACTCTTACAAGCGATCAACGGATTCTAACAACCACCTTGTTCTTCTTGCCTGCAGATAGAAGAAGCACTTTGCCATCTACAATGTCTTCAGCCTCTATTCTTTTACTTTCATTATCCACTCTTTTGTTGTTCAAGTAGACACCCCCTTGCTTCAATAGACGACGAGCAGCTGATTTGCTCTCGAACAGACCAGACGAAACAGAAAGATCAACAATCAAAAGATTCAACACTTTGGAGTAAGGCAAGGAGCATGATGGAACATCCTCGGCAATCCCTTCAATGGTTTTCCAATCCAATTTCGTCTCTGATCCGGGTCTCAATGCTTCAGTTGCCTTAAGAGCCTCGCTTAAACCATCTTCACCATGAACAAAACGAGTGATTTCTTCGGCAAGCCTCCTCTGGGCGGTATTGGGCACATAACCGGGTTTTGTCATTGCGCTTTCCAACTCATTTATCTCTTCCATATCCAAGAATGTTAGAATTCTGAGAAACCTCACCACATCTGCATCCGGAACAGAGAAGAAATACTGGTAAAACTTATAGGGAGACAACATAGACGGCGAAAGCCAAATCGCACCGTCTTCTGATTTTCCAAACTTGGTACCATCACTCTTCAATAAAAGAGGAAATGTCAAGCCATAAGCTCCTTCAACTTGTAAAATCTTCCTTATCAACTCAGTTCCCGCAGTAATATTACCCCACTGATCACTTCCACCAATCTGTACATTCACACCTTCATTCTTAAAAAGGTATAAAAAATCATAACCTTGCAACAACTGATAAGTAAACTCGGTATAGCTCATCCCTTGTTCGGATTCCAACCTCTTCTTAACACTCTCCTTACTCATCATACTCCCCACCCGAGCATATCGACCGACTTGTTTAAGGAAATCGAGCAGCCTAACCTCTTTCCACCAATCATAATTGTTTAAAATAACAAAGTTCGAGTGTTTTTCAGAACCCAAATATGCATTTTTACTAAGAATCTTATTTATAATCTCCATGATCCCAACAATGTTTTTTTCCAGTGTATTCAAATCAAGTTCAGGTCTTTCTTGGCTTTTACCAGAAGGGTCACCAATTCTACCAGTAGCTCCACCAATCAAGGCAACAGCTTTGTGACCACATCTTTGGAACCAAGAAAGTACAATGAGACCCAAAAGATTCCCCAAATGCAAGCTCTCGGCAGTTGGGTCAAAACCACAGTAAACTTTGAGAGGACCAGCAGTTTGGTCTGAACAAACCAACCTGAGATTTTCATTGGTTATGGATTCAAGCAATCCTCTTTCTTTAAGTATTTTAACAACATTCGGGGTGCTACCCGCTTGAGATTTCGGTTCAACAGTTGGCTGAGGAGTGTTAAGGCTGCAACTTACGGAAGAAAAATTGAAACTTTTCATGGGTCTTTTAGAAAAAGGGATAACCTTGGTATTAGCAAAGGGTATGAAGAATTTTCCATGATTGAAGCAAAGGAAAGTCCTTGAAGCCATAAACAGTGGTCTGTTTCCAATATTAAAGATAAAAAAGCTTGTAATTTTTATGAAATTAACAATGGAAAATCTTTGAATATGAAATAACAAATAAGAAAAGAAAAAAAAAATACAGAGAAAGACTGACCTTGGTGATTATGGCTGTCCACTGAGGCTTGAACCAGAGAATAACAGAGAAAACAATGAGGGATTTGGAAGAGAAGGATAAGCTGCCGGATGGGTTTGGATTTTGGAATGGTTTGAGATGGGTTTTTTTGGCCCAATACCCCAAACGGGTAAATTATTTAGGGTATTGAGCATACCTAGAGTTTTTTTTTCTATAGTACACTCCGTACTCATCAGTAGGATATTATTTTTTAAATGGTTCTCATATAATGGGTCTCATGTAAGTCTTCTTATCATTAATAGGATTTGTCAAGTTGAGGTGGCAAGCTTATTAAAAAAATTCATAAATTTTTTTAAAATAAAATAAAATATTTAAATTTTAAAAAAAATTAGTTGAAACTTGTTACTTTTACGTGACGAGTTCTTTCAAATTCAAAAATACTAGTCATTTTTAGCCGTTGTTCAATGGGCAAACGGAACCACAATTACTTGGACCTCGTCACCTCGAGGTAAAAAATTCGACCAGGTAAAATTTAATTAAAATTTAAATTTAAAAGAAAAATAATTTTATTTATATTTTAAAAATACAAAGTAAGTAAATAATTACAAAAATATAAATTAATTAGAAAAGATAATTTATCTATATTTCCTAAGTTCTTGAAGATGCCGATGAGTTATCGAATGATAATGGCGTGAGGCTCGTCGAGTTTGTCGGAGCCGTACGCCTTGATCGTCGCCGCCACCATTGCCGTTGTCGTCGTCGTCGTCTTCGTCTTGCCTAGGAGGTGTACCCAACACACTCTACGATCTACCTTTGAAATACAATTATGAATTTATGACATTTGAGGCCATCATTATCGTAACTGCTTAGACTTGGTTGCTACTTTGTGTACCACATAAGATATGGTCACACCACAACCGCATGTTCTGTCGAAGATGCTTGAGTGTATTGCGGTGCATCCCATGAACCTCTAACCAAATTCGGTTGAGTCTCCGGTGAAGTATAAAATGGAGGATAGAAATCGAAACTAGCCAAAGATGCATAATAGTACTCTTCAATTGCAGATGCTGAAGCGGAAGAAGACGACAACAATGCTTTCTTCTTGGACTTCAACTTGGCGAATGTGACATGATGATGTTGTCATTCTCTCTTCTCTTCCAATGTCGTTAAATATGGTTTTCCATTTGATTCATAAGATCGGAGGTAGGGAGAATGATCGAAATTTAGGTCCAGTGGTGTAACGTCTTCATGCGGGGGACCGATAGTTCATGCTGATTCCATAGGCTGATGTAGTAAGCGTGTCTCGCCAACCAATTTTCAGTATGATTCCCACATGTATCGATTGCATGGAGCGCACCCATATCAACCATTTGCGGCAAAGGAATCGACTGGTGCGATGCAAACTGTCGCATCACTCTATCAACGGCGTACCACTCAACAATCGCTTGGTGCAACAACAACGTCACGACACACCATAAGTGAGATCCCTAAAAAATTGTGCCGACAATAACTGTCTCATTGTCAACATACGGAAGCCAAGAGAACTGTAAATATTAAATATCAAAGTTAGTATATATATAAAGTTAAAAACAATAAAAATAATAATTTCGTATGTCATATCACATATCTATCGGCGATGTCGATCCTTATCCTATGTCTCGTGCAGTAGCACCCGCCAACTTCGTCTCTGATATTTTATGATGCAATCCAAAATATTTAAAAATAAAAAATATTATAAACAAATAAAATAAATAAATTTATGAAATTCAAAAAAAAAGTTTTAAATAAATGAAGTGAAACAATTACCTTGCCACCAACGGAAACTCGACCGGGGCTAGTGTAATCGGCATCAAAAAATGGGAATTGATACTAAGCCCACGATTATAGTAGTATCAGATAGCCTGCTACATCGACTTTTCGACGGGATTAGACAATTGCAACCTTACAAAGCTCCCAGATAGAAAGGCTAGAATTACCGAGCCCCAACTGGTATTACGATACACAGCGAAGTCTTCCAAATATCGTATATATTGAGTGTGCACCAAATTACTGGATTTATTCGGTAATAGTATCCCTCCGATCATTTGGAGAAGAAATGCTTGGGAGGCAAGAACAACCTTCGCCTCGGTCGACTCGATAGTCACTTTGAATTCGGACTCCAACCACGTTATCATTACCCGATATCCCCTCATTACGTCGGATGGTGGTCATTTTCCCAAAACTTGGTAGACCAACGTCGCGGGGTCGTACATGTTCTGACTCACAACGAGAGCTCTATTCACAGGAACACCAAGTTAGTAGGTGATGTCTTTCAAAGTAATCGTCGCTTCATCACTCGAGAAATGAAACGTGGGCATCTCGGGCAGACAACATTCGA